CGAAAAAATCCTAATGGCTGCCCGATAACCGGCACTTTCTACGTCTCCCACGAGTGGACTGACTATAGTCAAGTGCAGAATCTTTATGCAGATGGCCACGAATTTGGCTCTCATACAGTTTCGTAAGTTAACGAGCAAAAAATTTTCTCTGAACCTATTGGTCTTTGGTAGACTCAGGTTTGCCACTAACAGGGTATTCATGGCCATCTATATAATTATAGTATGTATTTATAAAACTATCTTATTGCATAATATGTGAAACTAATGGATTTTTATTTTTTTTTCTCTTCCTCAATTCTTCCATCCTTCTTCAAACCTGGTTACTCTTTCTTCCTCTTCCTGGCACAACTCACACACCCACACGCACATTACATCCCGCGTCAACAGGCGACTTGCCGGTGGAACAGGTGCCTCAGATTGTTCTTCTGACCTTCGACGACTCTGTAAACGATTTGAACAAGGGACTGTACGCTGACTTGTTTGAGAAGGGTCGCGTCAATCCCAATGGTTGTCCGATATCTGCAACGTTTTACGTGTCCCACGAATGGACCGATTACAGTCAAGTACAGAACTTGTACTCCGCCGGACACGAAATGGCATCACACACAATTTCGTAAGTTTATCGACTACCGCACAGTTACAGCACCACACCCCAAAAGTTTATGCACCCACAACATCTACAATGCAGATCAATTTTATACGATTTCTATAACTAAAGACCTTTAAATTTTATGCTACTCTTATGCCTGCTATTTTGTCTTTTTTATTAAGTTTCTATTTTGACCTTTTATAATTTTTTCTTTACTTTTTCAAATGCTAAAACCTTCTTTTTCTGAAAATTTTTGCCTTTACTTTTCTAATTCATCACGACATGATTAAGTACTAATAAAATTTTAAAATTTTAGACATAGCTTTGGAGAACAGTTTTCGCAAAAGAAATGGTACAGGGAAGTGGGTGGTCAGAGAGAAATTTTGGCAGCATACGGTGGAGTCAAACTTGAGGATGTTAGAGGCATGAGAGCGCCTTTCCTTTCCGTCGGTGGCAACAAAATGTTCAAAATGTTGTACGATGCTAACTTCACTTATGATTCATCGCTGCCTGTTTATGAGAACAGACCACCAAGCTGGCCTTACACTCTTGACTACAAATTGTTCCACGACTGTATGATTCCGCCATGCCCCACGAAATCTTATCCAGGTAAATATTAGCAATGCTATTATATATTGTTTAGTACCAAGGCGTAAGTACAGTAGAAGTAGTAGAAGACTATGTACATCTAAGAACTGTTCACTACTAAAAAAACTTCTGCGTAGGTTGACTTTATGATTGCAATGATTTCAGGTGTATGGGAGGTTCCTATGGTGATGTGGCAGGACCTGAACGGCGGCCGTTGTTCTATGGGTGATGCTTGTGCTAATCCTCCCGAAGCTGAGAATGTTTACAAGATGATCTTGAAGAACTTCGACAGACATTATACTACCAATAGGTGGGTGCAAGATATTTTAATTATTTGCTTATGAACGACGAATGATGATGAGACATGAATTTCTCTAAGTGATAAAACAATTAAAAAAGCAAATTGTGTAAGTAGGTGAATAACCTCCTAAAATTATAAGAGGATTTTCTACAAATATTCAATAAAAAAAGAAGATGAATGATATGAAAAGAAGAAAATTAAACATGAAAACTTCACAAAATCCAATATGAGTTTTAACGAAATGACATCACAAATGTCCAAATTGTAACCCAACATCCAATGCTTTCCAGGGCACCTTTCGGTCTCTACTACCACGCAGCGTGGTTCACACAGCCCCATCACAAGGAGGGCTTCATCATGTTCCTGGACTTTATCAACCAGATGCAAGATGTGTGGATTGTCACCAACTGGCAAGCGCTGCAGTGGGTGAGAGACCCTACGCCTATCAGCAGACTTAACAACTTCCAGCCGTTCCAGTGTAACTACCAGGTTTGTGATTTTTGTATCAGTCTAATATGTATCATAAAACGATTAAAACATTTTTTAAAATACAACATTTAAAATCATTTAAGTATTAAAGTAAAAAATGTGTTATAATATTGATTTGTGTTAATTTTCTCTTTGGTCTGAATAAAACTTCAATAAGGAATAATTTTTAATTGAATTTATCATTTTAATATATAAAAGATAAAAAAAGATGTTACTAATTAAACAGTAGTCATTGTTGCGTAATTGTATAGAATAAAAAAAAGTCCAATAATATTTCCAGGACCGGCCGAAGAAATGTAACAACCCTAAAGTGTGCAACCTTTGGCACAAATCTGGAGTCAGATACATGAGAACGTGTCAACCCTGCCCCGAAGTCTACCCATGGACTGGCAAATCGGGCATCAGATCTTCACGCATTGACAACGACATCGGAGAATAAGCAAAATAGTTACTATAGCATAATAATAAAACCACTTTCGATATAACAATACATGTTCATCGTTGATACACATATTAAATGTATCAAAGCCAACGAGGCAACAGGGATGTCGAAAGTGTAACTCACAGTAGAAATTGTTTTGTCACCAATTGAAGAGTGCCATTTAGATGTCGATGGTCACAAAGCAAATATTGACAATTTCATAGTAACGAACTATTCGTTACGATTCTCTAAAATACGTCCTAAATGTATTGGAAACTGTGATATTAAGTGTTTTCAATCGTCTAGTGTGAAGATAGCGTCGATTTTGTTAGTTTTAATTGCATGGTCTACTTATAACAATACTCGTGCAATGTTTTTTGCAATAATATTTCCTATTTGTGTTCGTTTTAGTTTATAATGAATACTCTCTAAATTAATGCAGAATTTTTTTTTTTGTAAGATTTTTTTATGTCATACCGTGATAGTAAAGTAACAGTCTATTTATCACAAATCTAAACATCTAATAAACTCGTCAACAAATGATTACCATTTTCCGAATAATTTTAAATGAAAGCCATATTAAAATTTAGAAAATATGTTTTGTTTTTCTAATCTTGCCAGCTTCGTGGTTGACACTGCCTTCTTGTAATTTGTAAATATAGGTTTAGTTAGTGAGTAATTTAGTTTTACATTGACGCATAATAAAAGAGCCTCTTAAAAAGTATCCTTATACGATTTCAAATTGAGTTTCTTATTTACAAATGTTTTTGGAATTTCGGTTTGACAAAAGTGTATGTAGCATTGTGTAGACGTCTGACCACATCGCATTGTGTACCTCTGTGATGTGGCACATGTCTATACAACTGTTTGTATTTCGAGGACTCTTAACTACATGATTATTTGATAGGAGAATTCCCGTTTGAGTCATACGCTTATCATTTTTTACTTTAGCTTCATTCTTCCAGCTTTTCTTTCCACATTTCTGAGCTATGATTCCAACGGTTAATTCGTCATTTTCTCTATTAGATGTAAAGCTTTGGTCTGCTATTGCAACTGAAGTCATTGGAAGCGCTTGCTACGAATCTTATTTAAACATTATTCAATTATTTAATAAGCCCTACTGTAAATATAGGATTAGTATTTAAAATTGGTAGTTTCACTTTTTTATTATCATCTCGGCTAGGAAATGTATCTCGGACATGACTCTGCACTGAGGTCCTACAGTGCAAAAGTTTAGATCAAGTTGATTTCGTATTTTGTATCGGCAACATTTATTTATATTGTACAAGAACTGTAACAATTATGTGACCAGTACTGGTAATAAAATGCTATAAAACATACCTGTGTATTATTTTATTATACCTGACTTTGGAACAACTATTGATTTATTTATATAATCCCAACTCTTTATTTATTTTTATTTCTTTTGATGATGCCTAAAATAACAAAATATTTATGTTCTTCATATAAAATGAACATACGAATGAAGAAGAAATAAGTTAAAGCAATATCTAAAAGTCAAGGTTTCGTCCATGACCATAAAGAATCCGCGGTGGACATCAAAAATTAAATTTCAATCATAACACCTGTGTTTTCGTCGACCAAGGTCAATGAAAGCCTATAAAAAACTTTGTATTTGAGCAAACTAGTCAAACACACCTCAGATAATATGGAAGTACCTTGGTTCTGTGTAGTATTTTTTGGTTATTATGTGGTTTTTGGTGCAGACGTCATTGTTGAGTATTATCCTTCTCAATCAGTCTTAGATATGAACCACAAAGTTGTCAGAAAAAGAGAAGTTAATATTACAGATGATCGTAATCTCAGTACCAATGACACTGGTAGTGGAATTCACTGGAGACATTTTAATAATGAGCCTGATGATGGAGACATACATAAAAGGGCCTTAGATCCTATATTTCACGGTCACCCAAAGACCAGAGAAGAATTGTGGAATGAACGTTTTCTAAACGAAACTTCATCATTTGATCAAACTCCGTCTCTAGTCAATTTACTACATAACATAACACTGACATATCTAAAAGACTGTACGCCGGTAATTCTTTATGACAATCAAGTGATGTCAAAGGAAAGTTATTTGGTACAAAATCTTCTAAAGGGGTTCCCTACGACTTTTATTCATGGTTTCATCAACGACAACGGTGAATTAATTGAACCAGAATTGATTAATGCAAAAATAGATTGCCAACATTATATTCTATTTCTCTCCGATATAAAGATAAGTGCAAAAATTTTAGGCAAACAACCAGACAACAAAATTATTATTATTGCAAGATCTTCTCAATGGGCCGTGCAAGAATTTCTTGCTAGTGCTACATCAAGAAACTTTGTTAATCTTCTTGTAGTTGGGCAGAGTTTTAAGGAAGGGGACGACACCAAATTGGTAAGTTAAAAGATTGAATGAAATTGCAAGTAAGTGAGTAAGAGAAAGCAACTGGTATTATCTATTTTATTTTATTATTTAGGAATCACCTTACATTTTGTATACGCACAAATTGTATACAGATGGGTTAGGTGCCAGTCAGCCAGTTGTGTTGAATTCTTGGACTCATGGAAAATTTTCAAGAGAGGTAAATTTGTTTCCTGTGAAGATGACGGAAGGTTATGCTGGTCACAGATTTGTGGTTGCAGCTGCTAATCAACCTCCATTTGTCTTTAGAAGGTAAGATGAACAAACGATGGTAGTAGAAGAAAATTAAATAAAAAGTCGAATGTGAGCTCCTTTTAAATACTCGTATTAACTACTTTTTAGGATCAAAGCAGATTTAGATGGTGGAAATCCTCGAGTAGTTTGGGATGGAATTGAACTACGTCTAATCAAGTTATTGGCTGAAAGGAACAACTTTTCTATAGAAATTATTGAACCTCGAGAGCCTAATTTAGGGTAAAATATGTTTTAAAATTATATTTGTAGTCGATTGATTAAGCTAGTAAATGATAATGAAATCATTGTTTGTTATAAGGCCTGGTGATGCTGTTGCTAAAGAAATAACAACAGGACGAGCAGACATAGGAATCGCTGGAATGTATTTAACCAATGATAGAATAAGGGATATGGATATGTCTTTAGCACATTCTCAAGATTGTGCTGTTTTTATAACTTTGATGTCGACTGCATTACCTCGGTAATAAGAATTGCATTGATTACAATATGATGATTCTTTTCATCTAAGATTGATGATGATTATGATCGATTGATGCCTTATATTATGAAGTTTTTAAGATTTTTTTTATATATACACTTTTTTACAAATTTTCAGCTACCGGGCGATTCTAGGCCCTTTCCATTGGCATGTCTGGGTAGCATTAACGTTTACTTATCTCTTTGGTATGTTTCCACTAGCATTCTCTGACAAACATACCTTAAGACATTTGCTACATAACAGTGGAGAAATAGAAAATATGTTCTGGTATGTTTTTGGTACTTTTACAAATTGCTTCACGTTTCTTGGCAAGAATTCTTGGAGCAAGACGAATAAGATTACAACAAGGCTATTGATTGGTGAGTGGAATTTTTATTACTGATGTTTTTGTCTCTGAACAGAATTAACGTATTATCTAATATTAAATTAAAATTCTCTTTATCAGGGTGGTACTGGATTTTCACAATAATAATCACAAGTTGTTACACTGGATCTATTATAGCATTTGTAACATTACCAGTGTTTCCTGAAACCGTTGATACTATCAAGCAGTTGTTGGCTGGATTTTATAGAGTCGGCACTTTAGGTAGGTATTCTTTTATTACTATACGTTAGTGTAAGCTTTTTAGAAGATAAGGTCTTAAAACTTCTTTATCCAATGGTACAGATCGTGGTGGTTGGGAAAAATGGTTCCTGAATTCATCTGATCCCAAAACAAATAAGCTGCTGAGGAAACTTGAACTGGTACCGAATGTAGAAGCAGGAATCAGAAATACAACCAAGGCATTCTTCTGGCCCTACGCCTTTTTAGGATCCAAAGCCGAACTTGAGTACATTGTACAAGCAAATTATACAGCATCTAAGTAAGTTTTTAATACCTACAGTATTGTATTTTAGCATTTACTCTAATTACCACGCAATTTGTTATTTTAGTAGTTGCTGTCATTATTCTAAACTACCATTTATACGCCTCCTTAGTTACGAACTAAATCCTCAATAAGATTAAAACCATCTTGATAAATAGTTTCCGTCTTTACAGATCGAAGCGCGCAGTCCTACACATTTCCAACAAATGCTTCGTGCCATTTGGAATTACCATTGGATTTCCAAATAATTCTGTGTACTCAGCTAAAATGAACTTGGATATCAGCAAAATGATTCAAGGTGGTTTAATTGATAAAATCACTAATGAAGTTCGCTTTGAAATGCAAAGGAGTCCTACTGGAACTTTATTAGCTGTGAGTATAAACTTATTTTGTATAGAGCAACTCGTAGATGATTCTAAAAAGGCATTCGTTCTATATATTTTCGAATAATGCGACTAAAGTAACAATATCTATCAATTTCCTCTATTAATATTGAGTAAAATAATTGTTCGTATCTAATGTTTTAAAATATATACAATACATACGTTGTGTATATTACAGGCTGGTAGCGGCACAATAAAAATCCCATCTGCCGAAGAAAAAGGCCTAACCCTAGAAGACACACAAGGCATGTTCCTTCTTCTAGCGGCTGGTTTCACAATAGCAGCCACAGCGCTAGTATCTGAATGGATGGGTGGCTTCACAAGGCGATGTAGATTCAAGAAAAAATCCGACACACCAACCAGCGCTGATTCAAGGGAGAAATTTATAATTACCCCAAAAACTGATGTTGATAGCGAAATAAAGCTTATAGAAGACACTGAGAGTAGACTGCATTTTGGGAGTAGACCGTCTACTACAGTTTCTGTTGATACTTTAGAAGGTCAAGTGATACATGTGACGGAAAGCAGTATCGATGTCCATAATACTTTCAACGTTGACAGGTTTGATTCTAGAAGGTCCAGTTCGCTGGATTTGGATAGAGAAGTTCGTGAAATATTTGAAAAAGACCAGAAAAGACGTAGGATTTTTTCTCGTGATATGGAATCTTTGGATGAAAATGGGAGCACCGTATCTAGGGCAGCGTTTGGTGACTCAGTCAAAAATGATATATGATAGTGGTGAAGGAAAAACAAATTCCAGAAATATTATTTCTTAGACGTGATTACTGTTCTGTTAAATAGCTTTAAGTACTGTACTGTAGTATTAGCAATATAAAATAAACTGTCCTTGTATTAATGCACATCTTATATTCTTGAATTTGAACTTCTTAATCCTTCCACTCCCCCAGTCCCTCCTCGATCCTTAATTCTCCAAAAGGTCGGCATCGCACTCGTAACTCCTCCGTTAAAAAACCTGATTATGTTCCATATTTTTTGTCCATTTGAATTTTCCACTTATCATTATTCTGTATAAGTCCAACACTAGTGAACGTTATGTCTGTATTGTATATGTTTTAGATTTTAAGATATCTTTATTTGAAATTAAAGGCACACTGTTTAAATGTGGAAATCTTTTTTTTATTAACACTATTATTAATTCTAAAGTCAGGTTTAATTACAAAATAAAGAACAAACATTGACATCCAACTCTTTATTATCCTTCGAACAGTCATCAAAATAATTTATAACAATTTTCTAACACTGTCGATAAACATTAATATTTCATTCAGCCACTGAGATGTTCATTCATCATACAATTATAATACATAGGGCAGAGAGGACTGCCTCGACACAAAGACACGGCGCCGAGCAACCTACATTAATGCAATATTTGGCCCGGCCTAACCTTAAAAAATAATTACACAATTATGACTTAATATTCCCGAGACGCACCTTCGGAAAACCGTCGGCGTTCCCGTCATATTATCAGTAAAAATATCGATAAAATACAACAGATTTTGCATTCTTTGTAAAATTCAAACGAAAATATACCTAATACCTACCTAAGCAGTTTGTTATATATGTATTGCACAACTGTTGTTACAAGAAATTAATGTGAAATCGTTTTGAGTATTCAATAAGGATATGTATTTATATTCCTATATTCTATTTGGATTGTTCACGATATACTGTGGTGCAATAGCAAAAATGGGGGGAAAGTACACCGACATCTACTGTGAATAAGTTCAGCAAAACACATTTTGTTATCCCATACTTATGACTACGTATCTTTAAATGCAATCAACTAGATTATAAATAAACTGAACAAGCCCCTTGCTATTGTCTCACAGCGATATACAGGTTAACACATATATTACGAAAGTAGGTACATATATAAAGAACAAACAAACGCTTTTTACAATAACACACAACACAGTTGTGCGTCGAAATGAATAATTATATTTATATATTTTATATTTATTAATTAATTAAAGTTGAAACTCATTCCCGATAGCAAAGCTCACAACCTCGGAAATAATGCTCCCAACACCAGCTTACTGTCGTAATATTATACAATACATTGATACGATAGACGGTGCAAGCGATAAACGCACGTATTTGTCACTTGATCACTCTACAAAAGGAAATTTTACCTATTGTTAAAAATTTCATCCAATACCAATGTGTGTTTTGTGCAAAATTGCGTTCATTAATTTGGCTATGTCCTTATACCAGTGCGTCTGTACTGTGATAGGTATATAGGTAGTAACTTGCCTGATATCGTACAATACAACACTTAACAATATTATACCACTTTCTACAACGGACAAGTACAAATGAATTCTAACAAGAACAAAGGATTTCGCATCATCGCCGAAAATATTGAGCAAGTTTTAATACAAAACACATCGACGTTACCAGAAAAAGGAACTTTTAGGAACGAACGACCGAAAATAGAATAACGCAATGTAGAATCTCAAACTACGAGGCCCGGGGAGGGGAATTTACAAAGTTCGTCACGGACAACAAGAAAACTGTGACTGTAAACACGTCCAATACAAAACAGTGACGACGATACAAGGTTCAACAATGATCGGGCCCAGTAACAGTGTAGGTAATTATATCACATTAACAATTTAGCCTAACATTCAAGATGAACTTACATGATCTTTAAATAGTTCCCTATAAACAGGTCAACATCCATTATGATCCGGTAATAAAATATTAATTCGTTAAACCTAACCGTGTACTTATGTTACAATGCGAAAATACATTTTATTTTTTTATTCTTTTTTTTAATATTCATATGCGTTCAGACTTTTGAACCTCAAACATGGAAAACTCCCTGTACAAATTTAACAAGTGTACCTTTACATTTTGTTACTGTGATTTGAAGGTTTACTCTAGTGATATATTCTATGATGTGAAGTTGTTCGTTATTCTTAAATACACATTATATTATAATTATAGACACATTTATACAGTTTCACTGACAAAATGTGATACAGAAATATATTATAGGCATCGTTCTGACCCTAGTACGAGCGTACAGTCGAGAGAAAAACTAAAAAGAGCTAAAACCGCGGGGTCAGTTGTCACAAAGTCTAAAAAGCGGGAAACATTTATTAATATTAACGATGACACCAAACGTACACCTAGAATATTATTATTGGATACTCTTTTTACTTATGTCTCCGACTGTAACTTAACAGGAAGCGTACTATGAGCAGAACAATTAACATCATCAAATGACTTAAGATTACCAGGATGTGAATATTAAAGCAAAAATGCTATAACATACAAATTTTGGTATAAAAATGGTACATTTAGGCACTGTGAGTAAGGCAACTACAGTGAGACGATATGGGAAGGGGAAAGAGGAGGACAGGAGTCTTCAGGCCTTTAGTGCAGGCCTTGAGAACGTGGAGCTTGGTGCTGCGGGAGGGGAAGAAAGCGACGACTAAGGAAAGCGGGGTAATGAAGGAGATTATGAACTATGGACGATACAATGTACAGTTTCTTTCCGACAATAACATCTAAAAATAGGGCGGATTGTGATATAGTGCATATTTTAGTGTAAATATTATAATGTAAAATATAATTTTGTCTGTGCTTAAAGCTGACTTGTAGGTATATTGTTCATCGTTACATAGCTCTAGTTTACTATTAAGTAGAAATAAAAAATAAAAAACTTACTTCAGATCACACTAACAAAATAAAAAGTACTATTTAACAAAGTTGTTCCATACATTTTTATTTGTAACTCATTATAGTTACTAAATCAACTTACATATACCTAACAAGTAAATTACATTTTGATATACAAAATTGACTCGATATATTTTGGTCTGCAACGATATACGACCATACATACATACATATTGATGATATATATGGATGGGATTGGTATTCAAGATAAATATCGAAGCGTAGACAGATTGACTTGAGAAGAAAATTAAATTTGTAACATTAAATTTATCGCATACACTACTTGTAATGCTATTTGGTTTAGCTTGAAGCGAAACTCAAAAAACGAGTGACCTTTTTTTCAACAATTTATTTTTAATCTGTCGAACTGAAATGTCAGTTCGGAAATGTCAAGAGTTCTAATTGTTTACAATATAAACCGTGTTCACATACAAAATCTGCTTAGAGTGCAAGTGTTATCATAAGAAATTTTAAAGCTTCGTGTGGTACCTTTATATACTCAATTCTAGCTAATATTACCTACTTACTTACATAACATTCGTTCCTAACGGGACGTGTATACATATCATGTAAATATCATTATGATTCTCATGTATAAATATGTCAATAGATAAAGTAGATTTTACAATACATATAATTTATTATCTTCTGTGATGACACTAGGACTACTAAATTTACAGATTCAAGTTCGGATGTCACACTATTATTATAATTTTTAAAATGGCACAAAAAACTTTTAAAACACTAACACAAAATGTCAACAGTCGTTTGATTACAAGTCCCACTTCACACAGTTTGTGGTCCGTGTCCATAGCACTACACAACGCCGCGCGCCGTCCGCCGCTTCAACTCTTCAACTTATACAGCACTAGTACATTTACTCACTAATCTTTAAATTGACTAACTTTAAGCTAAACAGACAATGGCACGGATTGCACATATAATGTCGTCTATTTACAGGGGAATTCAATATCTATCTATATGTACTTAAAGTTCAAAATTGTTCAGAAGGGTTGCTATTGTACTTAATTTTAACATTTAATCTTAATCTTTAGTGTACTTGTGTGCATTACAATAATTAATTACGTATTAATAGAGGGTAGTGTAAAGTTGAACATTCAATTATATACGAATATGTAACGTACTACGCCCGGGAGTGGGGCAGCTTCTCGAGAGTTAGTCGACCGTGCCATCAATAATGTAAGCACCGTTTAATTTGGATGCACCTTTTGCTTATCAGACTTTTTTAGTGATAAGATTAGCACTGTGCCGCGGGGAACTGTTCAGTCCGGGTGGAGCATGCCGGAGGACGGTCACAAGCTCGATAGAGGGCCGCGAGAGTGCGGGGCCTCGCGGGTCTAGCAGTGCGGGTGCAGGGGCCTCGGGTACGAGCCGAAGGCCTCGTAGCCTAGCTATGTGGCCCACCCCTCGATCCGCGGCCGCTTCGTGTGCGGCTGCTCATAGTCCAGTGGCACGGCCGAGTGCCGCATGTCTTGGCCGGCCGGCGAGCCCATGTTGCTCGAGGACACTGAACCTGCAACGTGCCGATACACTGTAATTGGTAACGTTAGTTTGGTTAATTGTCATTGTCCACACATTAGTAACTAATTAATTCATTCAACTAAATATATCATGCAATTTTGAAATCAATTCAACGCACACATTGTTCATCAAAGTTTTGCTTTCAACATAGACATGCATTGTTTTGTATTATTTTCAATAAAAATATAAAACTTTTATTAGCAATTCTTTTATAAAAGCCAGCAATGATGAAAAATTCGAATACCCACCATCAATGACGCCAGAGAGATGTGCGGGTTGCGGAGCTGGTTGCGGTGGTGGCGCGCGGTGGAGGTGATCAGGTGCACGAGGTGGCGACACTGGTTCTGCTTTGATCTTCACGTTGCTAGGCGATGCAGCTGGTGGTGGCGTCCCACCCCCGCCCATTACTGGCAGGCTGCTACTGTTGAAGAATTGCACTCGTTAGTTTTAAAAGAAGATTGGTCCAGTAAGTTAAGGTCATATTTTTGAGAGACCGAAAGATAAAGTTTCATATCTGGTTTTGGGCATATTACAAGAATTTAGGTTAGTAATTTTTCCGATGGCAGTGCTCTTATCCACAACATATCAATATGACGCAGACATATTATTATTTATCTACGTTCTCATTACATAACACGCAATTACACATATGCCACATGAAAAACATAGTACTTAATCAAGAAAACCGGCATTGGTAGCTCATAACGGCAATACTCGCTGATAAGCTGGCAATATCATGTTTAATTCATAACAACCAATTAGAAACATGCAAAGAACTTATAAGACACCATAGCAACCAATAGAGATAATTTATTTTGCAATTATCGGTGCTCGATTAACGCACTCATGCGTAAAGTACAAGTGAAAGTGACACTTCAATTACTTCCAAGTTCCCCCTCTGTCGTCATAGTTTCTTTACAGTGCGGGGGGCAGGGTCAGTCAACGAAACTGGTTCTTTTATCAACACTGCCGCGATATGGTTGCAATTTTTGATCAAATTGTCAACTGCTCCGACAGCCGTGATCGTCTAGTGGTTAGGACCCTACGTTGTGGCCGTAGTAACCCAGGTTCGAATCCTGGTCACGGCAGTGATTACACTGTCACGGCGGAGAATATATTTTTATAATTTTTAGCTTTTATTGCATTTCATTTTTTACAAGGCATACAAATTTTTAGTACTCTATGGTACCTACATGCTGAACACATTTTATATATATTATTTATTAATTTTTATGTGACAGCACTCAATTTCATTATGTAAAAAGGTTTTACAGATCATTTTCAAATATTTATAACAACGCCATCTCGAAGCGTTTACCAGAAGTAATTAAATAACAAGAGCAAGGGCATTTATGTCGAACAGTTGTTTATGAAACTGGTGCATGACTTTCACATTGTAAAGAGACTGTTAATTTTAATGTAGAGATCACAGCCTCCGTAGCCGTGATCGTCTAGTGGTTAGGACCCTACGTTGTGGCCGTAGTAACCCAGGTTCGAATCCTGGTCACGGCAGTGATTACACTGTCACGGTGGAGGTTTTTTTTGTTTTGTTAGAAGTTTAATGTGACTAAATTGCTAGAGAATATTTTTCACTCTGATATCATTAATATTTGTCATAGTATTCCAACTATCCTAATAACTGCTAATGTTTGAAAAAATCATAATTTTAAAGCACTTTTTTAGAATACTTAAGATCTTTTAAAACAATGATTAGCCGAACCGCTTTAACCAATCTTATTTACAATTTGGCGAATTCAAGTACTACAAAAAGTCGTTACAAACTAATTCGCCTTTTTTCAGATTTTTTTTCTCTTCTCTAGTGTTCGGTTTCAATCTGATTCAGTTCATGCGTGACATTCGTTCATTCGACACGCTACGCCTCCCGGAAGACATTCAGTTACGAGATTGTCTCCCGCATTGTCCTTGGCAACACGTCCTTGTTTTTCCATTTTTTTTTCATCTTGTAGCAATTTGTTTGTTTTCTCGTTTTTTCAGTTCAAGTAGTCAAATTTTTTATATCACATTTCTTTTTTATAGTTTAAGACTGGTTTGGATGTCAATTAGTATGATAAATCCAACTGTATGCTTGCTATATTCTTATCTTTTATATTTAAATGTATTTAATAGAACTTTTTGAATTTTTCAGTTACCACAATGTTAGGTATTATGATCAGTTTTTTATTTAACATCAATTGGTGAAATTTATCATGCACCCGTTTCCATTCAAAGAAAAGAAATGATCAAATAAATAAAATGTTTTATTTTAAAAATACATCTAATCAAATTAACATCCAATGTTACCCAACAATGGTAGGTATGAATTCAAATTTTTTGTCTTACACGTGGCCCGGTTTTGTTTTTTTTTCAGCAACCGTCACGTGGTAACTAAATAGTCATTTGAATTCGTCTATGTAGATATACATACTTTTTGCACGCAAACTTTAATAACATCGTCATTAATAAAAAAACCTAATGCGACTTTTAATTTGAATCTGAAATTATTATGTGAACAATTTAAATTAAGTATCAAAATGTATGTAGGCATTCTAATCTCTTATGAAGGCTTAATTATAATTAAATGGTCAGTTACTTCCATACAGATGATAATGGTATAATTTGCCAGGTTTACGAGTTTTTAGCAACTCTTGCGCACGCAACCGTGAACGAATCGTGAAATGTTATGCAACCATTTTTAATGTAGTCGTTGATTTCAACGAAGTAAGCAGTTGTTCCGATAGCCGTGATCGTCTAGTGGTTAGGACCCTACGTTGTGGCCGTAGTAACCCAGGTTCGAATCCTGGTCACGGCAGTGATTACACTGTCACGGCGGAACATTTATTTTTGTTTTTTTTTTGACAAATAATAATTGAAATTGTTTGTTTTGCTGATTTCAGTATGTTATTATTATACATAATAAAAATTGTGTATATTTTAGTTAGAATAGAAGCTTAAATTGTAGGACAGCAATTTTTGAAATCTGTTGCAACCAACTGTTCAAACCTATAAAAAATATTGCAATTTCTAAATATAAATTAAGAAAATCTTAATTCGACGTTTGAATTTAGCTCTCAAATTTTATAAATATAGAAATATTTATATTATTTTTCCAAAGCAGGAAGTTTGAATTGGTCGAAACAGACTTCGTTTAAGCGACACATATAAAAAGTGATATGAAAGTGATCACAGACATGTACCTGTTGTGCTGTAGCGTCTGGAGCTGATGCGCCCCCCACGTCAGTCCGATGCCCATGTCCGAGTTGATGCTGAAATCTTGTGGTCCGAAATTGCCGAGTCCTGAGTAGCCGAGTGGTGTCTGGAAATAAAATTAAGATTGGATTAAATACAATGATGGAATTAACTCAAGACAAGCTTCTTATGCTAGAAGTCTCAAGGTGAATGTTATCAATACTGATGTTCAGGAAAAAACCGTACACTGTGGATTATGTGGATTTTGGACGATACTTTTAATTAGGTTGATTGGAATCACGTTCAAAAGCCAAATTTAAATCGTACGTGGGTAAATACAATTCAATTGTTTCTGAATAAAAATAATCATATTCACCTCTCCAGCGTAAGATATGTCATCCTGAGGTGGAGGCATTGAGCTGGGTATGACGACGCGCAAGTTGTTGTGCCGCGGCGAGTGATGCGGCGGCGGTGCATGTCCGTGCGATTTGTGTCCGTGCCGATGAGGTGATGGTGCCGGGCCCGGCGAGGGCGATGGCGTACATCCTTCATCTAATGGAGATCCTGAACCTGGGTAGCCGTTTGACATCTCTAGCATTCCGCCGCTTGGGTATACTGGAATAGAAAGAAAAACCAAATTAAATAAAGAAGTTGGTTTTGATAAAATTGATAATACCTATACAAGTATTTGAAACATACCTGAATCGGTTTCCGAAGACGATGGCCGTGGACTGATAGAAGTGTGCATTTGAGGACTAGCTTGAAGTAGTGTTTGATCATAGTTGCCGACTGGGACGCTAACTGGCAGGTTGTAGTTGCTACCAGCCACTCCCACTCCGACTCGGCTCCCGTTCAACTGGTTCCTTTGCATCATCATTTGGAATTCTTCGTCAATCTTTGAGTACTTTGCTTCGGTCCTTGGTGTCAGATTGTATTCGGGTTCCGCTTCCGGGCTGTCCGGTGACATCACTCCGTTCTTATGCTCTTTCTTCGTTAGTGCCTGTAAGTGTCAGCGAAAACAGCTCAGGTGGCTTGACGAGCCAAACTTATAAATACTCTACTCGTACTGTATTAATCTGGCATGCATTAAACTCCTGTTAAATTATTAGATTACACCCTCTATACACACCATTAGTGTTATCAGCATAAATCGCGTTAAACGTAATTGCTACTGTTTGCTTTGTTTAGATTTTATCACGTCAGTATGTAGTGGAGGGTTCAAAATAAAACAGTGCTCTCAATAAACTACAGTTTACAGTGTAACTAAGGTAAATTGTACGTGAAAACTTTTTAGCGTACATTTGTGTGGTGTCGAACGCAATGATGCAACACTGACTTTACCCTTGTCTCAAAACATTGGAGTCAGGTAGGCGCGGTTAATTCAAATAAACACAAAATATATTTACAAAACCCATGCTTGTACAGGAAAAAATAACATAAATATTTGGGGTATCTAGTCATAAACTGTTAGTATAAAACGGGGTTCTGGTGTCTCGTACTTCATCCTTTTTTCTAACAGGAAATAAACATGCTGCTGCTTTATAGCTTGTGTTTCTCTATTCTTATATATTATGTATATATTGATGAGATATCGTTTACACAAGGTCTTTGGGTACGAGATCTACATTTATAATCTAGTGTGGCTCAACAACATTTGCTTGTATATCAGGGATTGTTTTAGTAACAAAATGTATGCATTAGGTATTGTGTGTAAGTACAAAGCACGCGGTTAATGGGATAAGTCAATTTTGCATGGACATTGCATTGCGATCACGGGCACACAGATGACGCCGTACTTAATGTACCTCGATGATGTTGCGGTTTGTCAGTGACTCGTGGGGTTCGTTGTATTCCGTGTATTTCAAGAGAACCTGAAAAGAAACAAACGTCATATTAAATTTTGCGTTCCTAACTTGCTCCAAAATGTTTGTTGTTAGCTAAATAAATATCTGCCGAACGGTTTGTTTTGGATTTATATCTAGATTTAGATTATGAAATGATGAGCGTCAGATAAAGCGATAGTTGGTATATTTCCAGGATTCTACTGTTTCGGGTGACAGCTTGATTTGTTTGCAAAATATAACATTTGACGTCAAATAAATTGTAAACACGAAATAAAACAGGCACAAGCTATTATATGGTTTTAGTAATTATCTCGACCTCACACAATACAAAGTTTGGAAAGGTGGGAAGTTCATATTATTATGAACTATAATAATCAGTTATAGTCGTTATTCTTTGAACAATAAAACATAAATGCAAATAAAAACTTGATTCTTACATTAATAACAGAGACTTTTATTAAAATATAAAGCTTAGCATTATAAGTAGGGCGTGTTGGCTGTGTTACGATAAATTACCAAGAACCGCGGTAAAAGAAATTAATTCCATAACTGTTGGAATGAAATATTTTCCCTTTAAACGCATTTTATAACTTGAAGTCATAAACACGGCATCACAAGAAACACATTTATTAAAGCAAATCTTTCGACCTTATGAGCGATGATTGAAAACGAGGAAATGAATAGAAAAGACAGAATCTATTATTATTTATTTAGATTTAAGCAAAGAAATGTAAATGGACGAGGAGATTATGTAGAATGCGTCAACAATTTAGAATGTATGTATCAAATCGATTTGGATGATATGAATAAAGATGAAATGGTCGAAATATAAGAAGAAGAACCAACACAATAAATAAATGTAGTAACTGATGAATAAAGCAATGAAAGAAAACAGGAAGTTATTTTATTCTTGCAGAATAAGACATTTAGAGACGATAACTAAGCAAATAAATTGTTTTACTATAGCTATTGCAATAAAAATATCAGTATCCTTATTTTAGTTACTGGTCATCAAAATACAATTTTTATTGTAGATAGTATATTTTATGAAGGTAAAACAGAAAGGTTTATAGAAGGTAAAGGCGTTAAAGAATTAATAGTAGAAATAACAAACCTTGTCCATATCAGTGCTAGCGTATTGGTACAGTTTGTTGTTGGAACTAAAGATGATGAGAGCGATCTCGCAGTCACATAGTACGCTAAGCTCATAAGCTTTCTTCATCACACCGAATTTACGCTTGTTGAAAGTGACCTGGAACATAAGAAAGAGGAGTTTAGTGGAGAAATGATGACAATGGTAACTGTGTGCTAACACATGTTTCTGTTAAGTTTTTGTTGAAATTTGACACTCTTAACCTCGATTAGGTTTTTTTTTTAATAATTTTGTATTAATTTTACCCTAATTGCATGACACATGATCCTTTACATCCCTACATATAGAATATAGAACCCCATACATATAGAACCCGGAAAAAAAATGCTCATTATGTTTGCATCATGTTATTCAGGTTGATTTGAGGAATTAAAAACGTTAAAACACTTCCAGGTCAGATAAAGATTTTAATTTCTAAGTTTCCAATTATGTGTTGTGTTTCAATTTCTCTACTATCCATTTAAATGCTATAGGTATCATTAATCCTTCATTTTGTGTTATTTACAATATTGGTAAAATGAAAACAAATTTTTTTTTTAGGTCACGGACAATGTTAAATAGTTATTACTGAAACTCATCGAAGCTATGTGTCATTCAATACATTTTGAATTCCAATATTTGAAACTAGTCAATAATGCAGTATTGTTCGGTATACATCATCTGCGGTTAATATGTAATTTTCCTTAATAAACTGAAGTAAAAAAATCGATAGTGTTCTGGTAAGCACATTTGTTTAGGAACAAGTAACGTAAATATATTTCTTGTTTCCTGTTGTTTACATATATACATAGGTATATCCAATAAAATATGTAGAGTGATTGTAAAATTATATTTAATTTCAAGTGTTACCATATTAAAGAACAAAGGAAGTTGGACCGCCAAAAGTAAATTGACCTTCGCAATTTTAATTTTGCATGTCTGCTGCTCTGTTGCTAGACCATGTTCAAAGAGCTTCTCTGCCCTCTTCTAATTAAAAATGTGCTTTGAGTGAGGGGGAGAAGAGGAGTGCTTTGTAGGGTCATAATAAACTGGACAAGGTTGATATACAGTGTAATCGTATAATTAATAAATTACAAGCGGGAGCGGTCGTTGTCCCGTCGCGATAATGTTTTGCAGTGGGAGTGTTGATAGGCCGCATCTGTTAGGTCATGTCTCATGGTAAGGTCATTTCACTCTAGCCTCCAATATTGTACTGTATGTGCATCACACTACACGAATGATTGATGCTTTTCGTATCTAACATAAATTTTACATTAGTATCGGCTGGGGAATTAGATTTACTCTCGAACACGTTTCATCCATTTCAAATACTGTAAAAATATTAAGTGCTTTAACAATGTCACTAGACACAAACCTGCCGATTCCGTTCGTCCGTAATCCGGGATATTTGTATTTTCTTCCGACCCATGGTGGCAGCAATCTTGGAAGGGGATGCGGGGAGCGGGGGGCGAGAAAAAGAGTTGCCTTTGGCTGGCTGCTTCTACGAACGTCAACAGCTGCTACCTGTAGACAAATAAACCAAACATTAATACAGAAATCACAAAACTCAATAAATTATAGTAAACACTTCCAATAAAACCTATTTCCAAGTAAACGGTAGCGATAAATCAAAAGGTGAATCAATTGACAAACGTGTCCCTTATTTCTATTGTAATAAAGTCATTGTAAATGACGATTTATTAAGGCCAAAAGCTCTCGTCATCGCGCTTGTGCCATGGAGCCATGGTCGTGATTGTGACCATAGCGAAGCAAGGCCAATGACATATATTATTGAGTTGGATGACGTAACAGAAATGCAAAGATTATTACGTAAACGGAATAGCATTTTGGTAAATGCTGGTTATGGATTTATTGGTAGGCTTATCATTTATTTAAGTATCGTCGGTTCTCGTGATACAATGCGCACATTTCATGTTCAGGTCGTACATAATCCAGTAGTTTGAAGCCCATCACTATATGTAGATAATGTTATCTGTTACAATTCTCAGTGCATTATAGTCGACAAGTGATTGTTTTGAATATATATTTCCTTATGATTGTTTGTGACTTGATAAACAGGGTTCATGTTTCATAAATAATAATAATTATTCACAATATAAACTTTGTTTTCTACATCAAATCCTCAGTAACAATGTGCTCTTTCTAGTAGCAGATGTTTTTTCTGATGCTAAAGCACATGTTTCAAACGATAAAGTTGCTACTAATGTATAAGTTTTATAAAAAATAATATTCGTAATGTAAGCTTAAAAGCAAGGCCAGAGAAAAAACGACCGGACATCACACATTCCTGCTACGTGCCTAACAGTTAAGTGATAATGTGTACAACGATTACGTAATCTTTGGTCTAACCAAACTTTTATTGAGCTACCGAGTTCTGATACAATCTCTCATGAATCTAGAACTGTTGCAATAAAATAATGATAGGTTAAATCATATATTAGTTTTGTATGAGGTAATAGATGCCACTTTTGATCAAGAATTTTAAGAAGTTGAACTTGCCAAAGCAAACCACGAAACATTATAAAATGATATTGAAACTACAGATACGTTTATAATTGGAGAGAGTACGTATGGAACATCCGAGAAAGATCGAGAGATAGTAGATAGTAATGAAGCTTAATACAAAAAAGAAGAATACTTAAAAGCATTCATAATAATGTACATGTTTGCAAATTTGTTCGACTTGATACCACCATTGACAGTGTGGATATCACACGTTATCGACATGCATAATTCATGGCCTGCCTTTGTTAAACAATAACGACAAAACAAAGTAGGCGTTTTACGTTTTAACATTACAAAAAATATATTTGGCGAGATACCAATTGTGAAGTTTATTTTCTTGTGTGCCGTCGAGTCGAACAAACGAATGGAAATAATTCGATATTTGATAACAGAATTTAATTTGGTGCAAAAAACCAAGCATAATTATAAAGGTGTGAAAGCAAGTTAGTGTTAATACTTTACGCTAAAGGACACAGGCTAAATTCATTCGGAGAAAACCATGGGTAAAAGGTAGTTCAAAAGGGACGCGAGAAAGTCATGCTCGTAAAATGAGATTGTAACAGACACTGTGTTTGTAACAGGAAAACGTTGATTACCAATGTTAACACAGTTAGGCAAAAAACGGGGTCATGTGGGTTGATACTAGGGTCATTATGCAAATCTCTGTGACCTGCTGTCTTGTACGCGCTTTATGGTAATTTTAATGTTTCACGTTGCCGACTGTCGAGATTAGCTAAAACATAATAGTTTGTACTATGAAAAAGTGAGTTGTGTGATAGACAATTTACGTAATGTTAAATTTTATTTCCTGAGAATTCTGCATACATAATTTAATGTCATTAGATTTTGTGTGTGAATTAAATTCTCAATGAACTTATGTAGTTTACACAAAATCTTTCGTTCGATATTCAAATTCATATTTTTTACAGGAATAAAGTTTAGTTGCATCACATTTGCATTGATTTTGTTATTGCCTTCATTTTTGTCGTGTTATTTATTTCTTAATTGTTTTAATTGTTTTATTAACTGTAAGTGGCGGCAACTTTGGCAGATCTTTCTACAAGTTTAATTTTTTCGTATTATATCAAATATTGGGTTTTAAGAATTTGTTCAGCTGAAATTTATACATTTACCTACTACAGTTTATATAAGTGTTCATACTACTAATGTTTAATTATCATTTTAAGCTGTTGTAATATAATAAAATATTAATATTCTGATTCAGGAAAATAACTGAAAATCGATTTTACAAATTCGGCATTCGATTTTTATAACATTTCAGTAATAAGTATACATAATTGCTTACCTCCATAAGCAATAACTTTTGCTTAGAAAATGTTATAAGTATTTCAAAGAGTGTGTGTTGACATCCTTCGAGACTATAAAACACTAATATGCATAGATACACCGAACCATTGTCCATTAGCCATAAATTTTATATAATAATAGTAAATGAACCACTGACTAAGATTTTTGTGCCCATGCATAAACAGCTGATAATTATTCAACGGTAAAATTGTTGAATTATTTAAAGACAGTGAAACGAAAACCCTAATGTCAAGAAAATACGATTTTTTTTCTGCTGTCAGCTGTTTTTTTATAGAATAGATTGGTAAATAAGCACACACATCACCTGATGGCAGGCTTCGCTCTTGGAAACCAAAACTACTGGAAGAGTAACAAGTGCGTTGAAGACCGTTTAGGGACTGTTAGAAACTAAAACATTGGGGATGAGATGAAAGACCCAATCCTCACTTTGTTGTTCTTTGTTGCTCTTTATCTCTTCGGTCAAGCCGATCCGATGGATCCTAAGCACGGCTCTTCCACGTGTTTTGAAAGACTAATTAGCTAGGTAAGTATTCAAAAAAAGCTAGTATTTTTATCAGCATCTTTTCAATATTGGCCATAAGACATTACAAATGGACATAGGAGCCGCCAAATTACTATCAGCCATTCGGAAAAAAAAATACTCCGAATTGTGTAGGCAAATTACTGATTGGCGATCACAATGTTGAGTCATTTAAAAGATAATAATTTTAATATCAAACAATATTTCCTGTCCCCGATCAGATTTTTGTAAATTGTAATTGTCGTCGTAACCTTTTTAGCTTCCTGCTTTTTCATTATTATGAATTACTTTAATTTTGCTTGTAAAACTTTCTATATCAGTAATCCAAAAAAAGTTTGCTTGGGAACCGAAAGCATCCTTCCATCATTTATATTTTATAATTGGTTTTTACAAAACTTTAGTTTATTACCTTCAAAACTGCCTGTAGCTGCAATAATTTAATTGTTGTCACAATTTAGATATGTGTTGTTTTGAGGCCGTAATATCTCCTATTGCCCTGGGTGGGGCAAAAGGGAGCGTTAGAATTTATCTGACTAAAAACCAACCTGTCTTCGCCGGCGACTAAGTCTTCTCAAGATGAATATTAAAATTTAATTAAATATATACTAATAAGTTACAACAGCTCAAAGATTTTAGTCAAGGAAGGTTACATTTAAGAGCTTAATATTGATGAAATTTTATAATACTTATGTTTTTGAACCTTAGAAAAAAGCAATGAGAGAAAATAACATATTACAAAGATTGTTGGTTGACGGCAAACACGCGATTACTGCCTATAAGTTAGTACGTACCTAGGCAAGCAAAGGGCGTTTCTTGCAAGGTTTCTTGATACACACCCTAGTACTCAGCTTAAGGCCATAATTCTTATGTACGAGTGTTAATCACATTATCGGTTAAACATCTCAGATGCACTGCACATCAAATGCAGCCATTTTGTTTTTAACATTCCTGGTCTTTTGGCTTTGGTACAGTAGAAAAAATAGATTGAGTTTTTTGGTTCCCAAATATTTTAAAACCAGGACTTAAATTGTTTATAGTTCAAAATCGACAGCTAATATTTTTTTTTAATTTTGCAATATCTTTATTTTATCTATTGTGACGTCATGTTTGTTTTATTTCAAATAACATACCTCTTTATTCAAATTTTGCTACAAAAATATACTTAACTAAAATATAATTAATATACTTGGTAAGTAGGTAATGAAAGTGTGATTATTATTTTTGTATTAAATTTTTACTTTGATTTGCGTTGACTTGGTCATGACTTGTCGAAAAGTCGTGGTTTTGTATGGCTTCATAGCCAATGTTGAATTATGAAAAAATTACAGTGAATTTTGTAAATTAGTGTAAGCTTGACGCGATAGCATTTGTTTTAATGCATTGAAACGCAGAAGGAAAATCGATATACCTAATAGGTAAATGAAAACAATGTTATCTCTATCTACCTGTGTTGTTTGAAATGTTTTAACCATTAGGTTAAATTTAGTTATAATTAAATAGGTATAAAATCAATACATAACTAGATGATTCATCCGATTTATGTTTATTATGATTTGCATTTCAAAAATGCTTTATTTCTAATATTTTTTTCATGGACTTGAACTAACTGATTATAATTGAAATAAAAATAAAGATATAATGAAATAAAATAATCACTAATAATTAGCAAGGAATAAGTCCTACTTTGTAAGCTGGTTACATTTGGTAGATATACATTTTGACAATAAAAAAAAAACAACCAAATGTACTACTAAATCAATGTCATTTTCTGTAAAAGTTTTGATATCAATGCTTGTAGGTATAAAGGTTTTCTGCTGTGCAGACCCTTAAATCGATCCAAGTCCCCTAGTTTCCAGTAGTGCGTGATGTGGGGCACTGGTGACGTGATTAAGTTCTAGGTTGCTTTTTATATGACCTAATTTAATTATTCATTATGTTACTAGAGAAATTGCACCACATAAACGTTCCGCCGCTTATACATAAACTGCGTTCATTTCTTCATTTCGCCTTTAAGAAAAGTATATTTGCCTGAAGTAGTTTGTCAATAATACTTAGAGTTTGATTAATTATTTTCTTGTTTTTCTTCATCACTGGTTCTCAAACTATTTGACTATCTTTAAACTGTTTGATGTTCAAAAATAAACTTGTC